ATTCCAATCACTGCACGCATTCTTGGAAGAAATTACGTCACGGATCGGGATCGTGCTGGTTGGCGTTTGGTACCTGCACGCATGTCGATTCTAGCACTACCTAAAAATGCGCTTCTTAGATGTATCATTCGCCAAATCCACTGGCGACGTTGAGGGCCACTGTTGTGTCCGTCACCAAAGCGCAGAGAGCTTGTTTTGGTAAACAAGATATCTTGAAGCTTGTCTTGTTTGATGGCAGCAACAATTGTTGGAAAGCGGTGACTGACACCTTGTTGTCCGGTTCTTTACTACCTGACGTGAAGCCGGGAAGTCTTCTAGAGATTCCTGGGTATACTTGGATCAAGTTGTCTTCTGGAACTCCAATGAAGTACATTCGAATCATGGTCATCTCTGTTTTCGAGTGCAAGGATCCTCCCGCTGTTGACGGCATACCCATTCTGATTATGAAAGAATCCAGATCTCAACTTGATCGGTCAGACTGAAGAAACAATGAAGGCCAACACCACCTCGTTTCATCCTGACGTTGTGAAAAGGTGTCATTCAACCGGTGAGGTGGTATTTACTTGTGCCGAGTGTTTGTACGACCCCAAGACAAATGCCGGTTTTGTCTACTGTGGTCCGGCACGTAAGTGGCAGCTGTTGGCTGGTGCCCCGGTTGCCACCAAGTTCCTCAAGAGGGACTTCAAGCAGCTGTTTGCCAGTTGTCACACAGATAGTGACGATGAGTCTTTTGATGGTGGCATGTGCGATTGCCAGGTGAAGTATAACTTTATCCGCTGTGGGCGTTTCAACTTCTCTATTTCTCAGTTGGACAAAGACACTCTCTTTTCGAAGATGATGGACAAAATCTCACAGGAGCAACGTATCGCCAACAAATGGGATGACCTTCCGGTTGAGAAAAAGCGATTTGGCTTGTACTACTGGATTGGCTGTAATGTCTTTGGTTTCCGTGAGAGGACTCCACTTCCCCAGTGTGTTGTGGCTTACGTGCGTCACCATTATCCCAATGAAGACGAGAAGAAAGGCTACAAGGGCTTTGTTCCTAAGTACACTCACCAGTCTATCAAGGCCCCGCTCCCTGTGGAAGAAGACAAGTCGAAGGAACAAGATGACGATTCGAGTGAAGACAGTTACAGCCCCCCCGAGTATGCTACTCATGAGGAAATGCTTCAAGTTACGCGTGATGCCCTTTCTCTTAACCAAAAGGACTTCGACACAGAGGATTCCGAGATTAACTATGATGAACCTACTCGCGAGGACTTCGAACAGTATGCAAAGGAGATTGCAAATGAGGAAGGCAATTGAAGGATAGGTTACTAGTATTCTAAGTGTTAGATCATTGTTTGTCTCTATTATGCTGTTTCGTCATTATCCATGCTGTCATCTTGTATAATTGCCTCTATCCTAGCCGGGGTGGATTCATTCCTGGAACTGTCATCACTGTCTTCGGTAGTCAGAGCGATGCAATCCAGTACGTTAAGTTGAGTACGCTGCTGCTCCTCTTCAGTCATTGCTGCTATATCTTCAGATGAAGGAAACTCGTTAGTAACACTCTTGTTCATGAGACAAAGACGACTGCTCTTCCGTTTGTGGCCCCACTGCATGCAAGTTTTGCAATAGTTATCTTCTTTGCAGCCAGCTGGCCGCGGACCAATTGGAAGAGTTGTCTCAGTACTATCCTTTTTTTGGCGTTTCTTCGCTCTGCTTTGTGGCTTATCTTCATTATTGCCGGCAACATCACCAGGGACATCATCATTCAAGGCACTGCATGTCTCATAGAATTGATTCTTCTCTCTGTCTTTCTTCAACTCTGCGTGGTAACTAAGGATCTTGTCGTACATTCTCTTATTCCGCTTTCGCCGGTAGGAGGCAGTCTTTCGGCTTGCAATTCGCTTCGCCCTCCAATCATCAACTTGCTGTAAATACTTTCCTGTTGCCTCATCAACGTCAAGACCAAGAGTTGCAAAAAGTTCCGTGTAGAATGCTTTGGGGCCCATGATGTTGATTCCAATAGCAAGTAAAACCCTGACTTTCAGTGATAATGTACCACTGTAGTGTTTGTTCTTCGGAGCCAACCAAGATATTGTGTTGTTCAGCGATTCGTTAACTTGGGTATCACCACCATGCACCACCTCTTCCAGTCTTTTCATCCGCGTAAATCGCTTGAAAATAAGTCTCAGTGCCTCGAACAGTTTTGGTTCCTTCTCTTTGGAACGATACTGCTTATCTGATTGTCGTTTGTCTTCCTCGCTTTCATCCATCCTACTACAGAAGTCCCTACTGCAGTTGGTGTGAATATCGAAGTGATGCAGAAGCACGGCGTCTGCCCTTTTACTCCATTCTTCTTTGGGTACATCTGGCAACTGCCTGACCATAGATATCCAATTCACTCCTAAACGTAGGATGTCACCCTCACACAAACCGTGATTGCAAGTCTTCTTTTTGGCGAGAAGATTATACAAGTCGTTGCGTAATCCCTTCTTGCGATGTGCGGGATCAGCGATGAAGATAGGTTCTGGTATATCGGAAGGGAGAAGTCCATCGGTTCTCTTGATCTCACGCCAACTGGTGCACTTGTGTTTATGAGGAGTTTTGTTCTCCTGTTGATAAGGTAAACACGTACGACATGGCTTCTCAATGTGATTCTCTGGTTTCTTCTTGAACTGCAACACTAATCCGACAACTGGTATTTCGGTAAGATTCTTCTTTGCCATGTAGTCCGCATTAGACCATTTCGCATTTGCTCTCATGCTGGAATCGTCATCGGTTATGATGCTTGCAACGTGTAATTGATAATTGTCGTGTAAATAGGTCAGCATGTTCAAAAGTGCAGCCGACTCCATTGATCCTGCAGATCCATCATGATTAGCAGTGCACATATGCTCGGGGGGAACTGTTCCCTTGGATTCGTGCCGCTTACAAGTAGCGCAGATGTTGCTCTTCAAACACCAAGCTATTGGTCTCCTAGTCTTCTGTCCAATGAGGCAGGCATGGCCACTATGCGAGTCATGTCGTCTGCCGCTACCTCTTTTCTGCCAACCCATATCCATGGACACAACCATTCTATGAAGAGAGCTAACCCAGGCTGCTGGTATGGACCGGCCCTCTCGCATGCAGGACTCCCACTCCTCATAGCTAAATGTTCCTGCTACATCTTCCATCATCAATTCCACCTCACGGAAAAGATTCCTCCTTATTGCTTCTTCTGTAACCTTCTGGATGCTTGGGTAAAGAGAGTCAACTATCTCTTTGAAGGTATGCGTTTGCATAGATGTTGCACATGGCATACCCATTAGACCAAGGAACCTGGCTGCTTCGGTACTGCCATCACCACCAGCAAGATGTGCCAACACAAATCTCACATTGGTCTGAAATCGTGGGTTGGTTGGATTCCCTCTTCTCACAGAGATAGTAGTTTCGGTGCACATTCCTTCCACTATCCTACCGCATGTTTTGCTGCTGCATACAATGCGAGGGAAAGCCGCTAAACACTTTGTCCGGAAAGAAAACTGTATGGCTTCTCCACAACGACCGCACGACAAATTGTCTTCAATGAAATGACAAAGGTTCTCAGTCTCAACTATATTGCGAGTAGTGAGAATCTTCACTGGTACATTTTCAGTTGTTTCCTTCGCAGTGGAAGGAGAATCTACCTCGTGAACAGTAGTTGTGACCTCTAACTGTTGCTTCTGTGCTGGGGCACCCCTATCCAAACCTTCTCTTACGTTCCATGTAATCGTTGCTTGGGTTGATGAAGGTCGCTTGCGATCATAGCGATTCAAACCAGCCTCTAGTTTCCTTCTCTCAAGAGATGACCTTCCTTTCTGTTCCTCATTGAGACATCCTAGAAGCTCATCAACTGTAAGCGGTGGTCCTTTGCTTCTCAGTTTCCTTGTACCATGGACGGGCGTCACACGGGGAAGCTCACCACCATCGGTCTTCTCCTCCTGGGAGCTCATTGCTTCAATGAGCAACCATGAACTATCTACCAGCTATGTAGCTACAATACACTCAGTGACGATCAATCCAACCAACAGCTTCAACATGACATGTCCATACACGTACTAGATTTGCTTTTCGATTGGTCTTCACTCAACCACGTTACATTACAAACCTCGGTATGCTCGTGAAATCTCATTGGATAAACCATGGCGTTGGAGACCTGGCTGGCAGCGTTTGAGTATTGGAAAATCATGTGTGCCGAACGCGAGATTCCCTATTCCACATGATGTGCCTTCGAGCTTCGAGCTCCTCAAAATACTGGTTGGGGCACCTCTCCGAGGCAATGCGTCTGTCCGTCCATCGGAAGGTAGGTATACATCCTTAAGAGGATGTTTAAGAGGATGTTGAGTATTTAAGAGAATGTTGTTAAGAGGATGTTTATTTAGGAGGATGTTCATTCGTGATAAGAGGAAGTTCTATGGTGTTTCAATGAAGGCTTAAGAGGATGTTTCGAAGCTTTAAGAGGATGTTGTTAAGAGGATGTATATTTAAGAGGATGTTTAAGAGGAAGTTGAAGATTTAACAGGATGTTAAGACGATGTTAAGAGGATGTTTAAGAGGATGTTGTCAGTCGTGGCAAATTCAATGTTTTTAAATCCTTATCGAAAACCATCGGACGGTCCTGACTGAGACTCCGACTCGCTGTACAGTTCTATTCTGTAGTCTATACAGTACTCTCCTTTCAAAACTCGTCAAACCAAAACACATCTTTTCCGCAAGTCAGTGCCATTCTTCAGACGGTCACTCTTCAAAGCTGCCAGCTTTCAGCTTGAAGCCAATGATACTGCTTGGGGCCTACAGTATCTGCTCACAAAGTAACGAACACCATAACCAAATCAGAGTCCTACACGATAACCAACTGGCACCAGTCCCTTGGTCCAACTCGAAATCTCTAGTTGTCTACACCCTCGTTCTCGTACCGGTATACTGGACCGTCCGACGGTTTTCACTCAGGATTTAAAAGCTTTCACGACTGACTAAAAACTTGATCACAACAATTAGGGGATTGTTTCTTAAGGGATTGTTTAAGGGATAGTCAAAGATTTATAAGATTGTTGTTAAGGGATTGTTTATTTAAGGGATTGTTCAGGGGATAGTTGAAGAAATAAGGGATAGTTGTATGGTGTTTCCATTCTGCGTTAAGGGATTGTTTAAGGGATAGCCCAAGCTTTAAGGGATTGTTTTAAGGGATTGTTTCTTTAAGGGATTGTTTAAGGGATAGTTGATGACTTAAGGGATTGTTTAAGGGATTGTTTGAAACGGTCATCAGTCATGGCAATTTCAAGTTTTTTAAAATCCTGTGTGAAAACCGTCGGACGGTCCTGGTACCAGGACCTCTGTGGAAACTCGAGTCGTGCTACCGATCGTCTCCTAAATCCTTTTGATCGTCTCCTATTTAATGGATTTTGTCTCCTAAAAATAGGAGACGAAACGGATCGTCTCTTAAATCTTTCGTCTCCTCTGAAATCGTCTTCTATTTTCAACGGATTGTCTCCTATTCTCAACAGATCGTCTTTTAAGTGCACCATGTAAACTGTATGGTATCGTCTTCTAAATTTTTCGGATCGTCTCCTATTTCGAAACGATCGTCTCCTAAATGGAATGTCTCCTAAAGAATCGTCTCTTAAATACAGGAGACGATTGCTTTCGTCTTTTAAATCATTTTGATCGTCTCCTATGCCTCGGTGTATCGGCGCTTAAGTATTTTGCCACGAATGACGTTTCCACAGAGGTCCAGGACCAACACCCGGACCATTGGAGACGAGAGGACGCTTCGTCAGCAACCAAGGAAGGGGCACTGGTAAGTTAAGTACTAGTATTGTATTAGTAGTCAGTACATATATGGTACCAACGTACCAACTCAATCGGCGCCGCTCTTATTAGGCCGGTCTCTACCGGAGCGACTAAAGTAGCGACTAAGCCATATTTCGTAGTTTAGTCCATAGTTTAGTCTCTTGGGGTGGTGTCTACCCAAGCAACTAAACGTCATACGGGCTAAAGGCTTTAGTCAAAACGCTCGTTCACCGACTAACAGGAGGCTGGTTAGTCCGTGAGCGAGCGTAAGGACTAAAGCTTGTTTAAGAACAGCAAATAAATCCAACAGAAAACAATACAACTGCATGCCACCGAGTTGGATAACAAAATCAGCCTCATTGCACAGCCTCACTATCAGAGCATCGCGACAGAGCTGATGGACTAGAGGTGCAAACGCCTCATTGCACCGCGACAGAGCTGATAGAGTAGAGGTGTAGAGGTGCAAACGATGAACGATCGAACGATCGAAGAGGAGTATCGGCCGATAGTAGAGGTGCAAACGATCGAACGATCGAACGGCCGATAGTAGAGGTGCAAACGATCGAACGATCGAACGATCGAACGGCCGATAGTAGAGGTGCAAACGATCGAACGATCGAACGGCCGATACCTGGTAGTAGAGGTGCAAACGATCCAACGTTTTGAGTCTTGTTAACTCGAAGTCTTGTTAACTCGAAAACGTAATCACTTCTATTATGTCTTTGTTTAAGTCCTTTAAATCCACCATGCTGATAGAATATTGGTAGCCCACCAAGTGATCACTTTTGTTAAATCTTTTTTTGAGTCCTTTAAGTCCGGTAGTGTTCCGTTTAGTCATTTGTTTAGTCGCCAAGGTAGACACCACGTTTTGACTAAACACTCGACTAAATTGTTTAGTCCGAGATTTAGTCATCTGCTGGTAGACACCACCATTACTAAAGGATAATGACTAAATCTTGAACTAAACAACCACCTAAAGGATTCCTTTAGTCGGTCCCTTAGTCGCTCGGGTAGAGACCGGCCTTAATACTTGAGCTTATCCTATGCTCGTTTCTGATGAATACGCGTAACTGATCAATTGCCGGTGTTCACTGTCCACTGTCCATCCACAATCATGAGAAAATCAATCGAAAGACGACGCAATTCCGTGATTAGGATCTGACAGATACCCTGGAACCGACTGACGAAACTGCGCTGGGTTCATCCAGGGGGATCTGGACTGCAGCAGCCTCGAAGTTCAGGTTCTCGTCCACCTCAACGCCAATGTCTTCTCCATCGTCTCTTTCAAGGAACGATGGGCTGGGAGCTGGAATCTCGAGACCCCCGTAGGCTTCCTCTGCCCGTTCTTCGATGTAGTTTTCAACCTCTTTGCAAAGCGTAGACAGTAGTCCAAAGGGTCTGTCGCCATGCGCACCGATCCAGAAGTGCTCGCGAGAAGTGACAAGATGCAGCCTGCTGGGGTCCGCAAGGGCAAGATTGTTGATCTTCTCTGCGAGTTTGGCCCTAGCAACCTCAATCGCTGCCTCTTGTGTCATGCCATGGTCGTGGGCTCCAGCCTCCACTGCCTGGTCGATCTTGGTGCGAACAACCTTGAACCAAATGTCCGCAAATCGAATCGCATCAAGGAGGGTCGTGTCGTTCGTCTTCCAGCGACCATCGGTGACCACAAGTACAGCATCGAAGTACTTCAAGCCCATGTCTCGAAGGTAGGACTTCGAAGGAAACATTTCCGTTCCTTGACCGGGCAAATCCCAGAGACGGACCTTACCGTCGAAGCCTTTTACAACGTAGGGGGTTGGCTGGGTTGTCCCGTCTGATTCAAAGCTAGTGAGAGGGAAGTCTTCCTGGTCACCGTCTGCAAAGAACTTCAGGAGCTTCGAGATGAGTGAGCTCTTGCCCACACCTGAGTATCCAAGAAAGCCCACGTTGATGAAGCGATCAACAGCAGCATCTTCGTCGACTGTATTGAGCACTCCAGTAACGAAAGGTGCCAGATGCTCCGGGATGGGATAGTCACGATTGAGCTCCTTCCTCTCTTTGAGCCTTGATAAAAAAGGTTGCATTGAAAGCAAGATGGAAGGAGGTGTGAAGATCCGCACAGACACATTTTGGGGCATTCATTTGAAACACTTACCGCTCAGCATGGACCCGATTGCGTTCGTTTCTGATGGCATCCACCCTAGCTTTCCTCTTCTCGCTGCAAGGCCTCTTTCTTGGCAATCTGAGCCTTTCGCTCCGCTGTCCGCTTGGCTTCTTCAAGTCTAGCTGCAGCCTCCGCACGTTCACGTTTGAGCTTGACTGCTGCAGCCTCAGCCTCTTGTCGAGCAATCTCAGCCTGTTCTTTAGCCCGCTGCTGAGCCTGCTTTCGGATTTCCTCGAGTCTCGCAGCAGCTGCATCTCGTTCCTTTTTGAGCTTTGCAGATGCAGCCTGCTGCTCCGCAACTCTCCGAGCCTCTGCCTCGGCACGCTGGCGCCTCTCGTTCTCTATCTCCCTCTGGTGCCTAGCTGCCGCTTCTTGGGCTTGACGTTCTCGTTCTTTGCGCTCAGCTGCTTGTCGTTCCACCTGTTCAGCTTGCCTGAGGTACGCTTCTCGCGCCTGGTTGGCGGCCGCTTCTGCTCTTTGGGCTGCTTCTGTAGCTGCCCTGGTCGCCGCCTCATCAACGTGGTAATGGTGGTGAGAAGATTTACCACCCATTGTTGCGATCGCTAAAACTTGCTCAACGAAACGGGTAATAGTGCACAGCAAGCATGGACACGGTGAGAAGCAAAGAAACAAACTCAGCAAGTAATTTGCAGTCAAAACGTCGACGATTCGATCATTCGGTTCTTACAACTGCTCAAACAGCATGAGATGTGAAATTGTGAGATGTCGCTACTCTAGCTAGAGGTACAGTAACAGGACCTCCGTTTCGGTAGTCCCTGAGGGACTACCAGGGAGACAGACAGACCAAGAGTACCGGTACACAAAGAGAGCGAGCATGTAACTGCAGTTAGCGGCTGAGACAGGACAGAGTGTGTTGGCACGGCAGTTGGTGGTTCGCCTTGCTTGCAACGATGCTGGCTTGTGGAAGGTGATACTCCCCTTTGTTCATCCCCCCCTCATCAACGACACACCCCGGTCTTCTATGCTCACGCCATCGACGATGGCATCGAACCGAGCCAAGGGCAAGGTCGAGACCGAAGATGTCTCAAGCACACGCCAAGATCGTGAGGCCATTTCAACTGCCTGCATCTGGATGGGAACCCCCGAGTTTGCTGATTGCAGTCTGACGGTAGTTGTTGCCAACGGATTGCACGACCTGATGAATGCAGCCAGGTAGCAACAAAATGCATTCAGGTGTGATGGAAATGGCGCCCATGAGGATGGGCAGCCAAATATGGGACATAACAGCCAAAGCACCACACGCCTAGTGGATGCGATATTAAGCTTACTAGCTAGCTAGTACGTACCTATTCTTCGGTTGCTTTCCAAGGTCATGGTCTTACTAAGGCCGCTCTCTACCCAAGCGACTAAAGTAGCGACTAAGCCATATTTCGTAGTTTAGTCGATAGTTTAGTCTCTGAGGGTGGTGTCTACCCAAGCGACTAAACGTCCCACGGACTAAAGGCTTTAGTCATTATGTTCGCTCACCGACTAACCAGCTCCCGTTAGTCGGTGAGCGAACATAACGACTAAAGCTTCTTTAAGAACTCTTTAAGAATGAATGAATGAATCTTCAACAGCCTCATTGCACAGCCTCAACAAGAGAGGCAGCTACTTGCCCAACAAGGAAGCAGCAACTCAACCGTTTTAGTCACTGTCTTTATAGTCACTGTACCGGTAGCCTCTTTGCACCTCTGTGGTGGGCACCTCTATTATGTCGTCCTCATCGGATTCCGACTCTTCCAGGGAGGACTTGGACATCGTCATGGGAATGGCAGATACCGCTGTAATGTTGGCCACGGATGATTACGATGGCACACAACAGCCCAATGGTTGACCACCGTCTTTTGCAAGGAAACCTCGGAAGCAATACAACCATGCCAGAGCTTTCCAGTGTATTCTAGACGACTATCTTGGACCGGTCCCTACATTTGATTTCAAGGAATTTGAGGATATCTACCGCATCAGCCGTCCTCGTTACCAGAGATTGAGAGAAGATGTCATGAATTCGGGTCATGAGTTCTACAGTGGGTCCACTGATGCTTTCGACCGGAAGGTATCATGTTTGGACGCACGTCTATTGATGCCGTTGAAATGTTTGGCATACGGTGTTCCGCTCAACCATTCCGTGACTATTTCCAAATGTCGCAGACCTTCGCAAGGGATTGCCGCAGTAACTTTGATGACATCCTGGCTCATTTGTATCAAGACGAGTATCTTGGTTTGCCGACTGCCACTGATTTACGAAATATTTCCAATCTTCACTTGGCGGCCCACGTGTTCCTGGAATGCTTGGAAGTCTTGACTGTATGCACAATCGATGGAAGCAGTGCCCAATCGAATGGCAAGGAGCATTCCAAGGAGCCAAAAAGGTCCCTACCCTGGTTCTGGAGCAATGTGCGATTACAATTTATTCTTCTGGCATGCTTCGTTCGGCTATGCCGGAACACTCAATGACATAACAATTTTCGACATGTCGCCTCTGCTGGAAAACATGATCAGCGGGAAGCTTACCGATCTCGAGACTATTGGTGGCGTCGTCCCTTTTGACATTGGCGATGAAGAATTTCCACAGATGTTTATTTGGTTGACGGTATATACCCACAATACTCCCGTTTTGTCAAGACTTTATCCGAGCCAATTTTGGATTGGGAGAAAACAATATTCCGCTTGGCAGGAGGCGGCTAGGAAGGACATCGAGCGGGCATACGGTGTGATTCAGGCCAAATTCCAATTTATGGCTCGTCCATTCCTGGATTTGGAATTGCGCAAAATCGGAAACCGTGTTCAACACCTGCCTCATTCTCCACAACATGTGTGTTGTGGATCGGGTGATGGGAGATGTGAGGGCCAAGTACGATCCAAGTGTCACTACAGTTGATCGAGAAATTGTCATCGATGTGCCGGCTGACAGGCAAACCGTCCAAAAACTAGTAGAGGAGCACCCGAAATTGGTTGGAAGGAACAACCAAAGAGTGTTCGAGATACTATGGTTCGTAGGCAACAGTGGCATTCGCTGATGGATATCACAGAGCATGAGCGTCTACATGTGGCTCTAGTAGAATTTAAAACTGGACACAAACTATAGTAATTGAATTAAACCTCGGTATAGTTTTTTGGGTGGCTCAATGTTCCACTTTGTCATCCTGTCGATATACGGTGTTGCTGATATACGGTGGCGGCATTAGGACAAGTCGGAATTGTCATCGGCCACTCCTTTTCACTTACTTCTCCATTGGCAACAGCGGCAGTAGCAGCCGCGGCAGTGGCAGTAGTAGCCATGGGATCTGTCATGGAGGAATCAGGGCTGCCAGATTTCTTGCTCTCTTCAACTACGGTTGGAGGAGTAGGCGCTTGTTTTTTGGTCGCCTGTTGCTGTTGTCGCCCATCCCGCAATTGATTCTGCCGCTCCTGGAATGCTTGTTCGTCAGCTGTGGTTTCTTCCAACAAATTTTCGGCCTCCGTCATCTTGCCAAACTTCATCAAAAGCTCCACCCGTTTCATCTTGGACTTCTGGATTCCACGGTGGACTACTCCCTCGGAGAGCATCTGCTGGAAAAGGCAATGGACTCCAAATGTTGATTGCGTTCTGGTTGCTCGAAGCCACCGAGTTGGAAAGAGCCAGTTGAATTTTGTCGTATTTTTGCCAGTGGGTCGGGTATGCAAAGAACCCATTGGATCACGAGTATTGTTGGCTTTCGGCTTGCTTTCGTCAACACCGATTGCTCAGCATTCAACTCATCCATTCTGCGATCAGCTTCTGTCTCGGTGATATGGGGATCAAAGACGGGCCACTCGGTCAATGGGGAATGCAATTGCGATGATTTAAAGTTCATTGTTCTCCTCATTGTATAGCTCCACGGCAAACTCAATATAGTCCTCCTCTGAATTGAATCCAGTACGGTGCTCGGCATGGGCCCGACGGTAACAAGCCATGAATTTTCGGCAGCGTCCCGCAAGTAAATTCCAACGGCGACGGAGCTGGTCAGCGACTCGCGTTGTATAGATAGTGTCACCGTCTTCATCAGGTTGAGCCTCTTGGGAGAGCAGTTTGTTGTATTTTGGAGCAACTCGATTCTTCCAGAAATCTCCTCTCTTCATACCGGTGCCCTTCATGCTCTGAGTGGCACTGATGAAGGCACGGCACAATAGTTGATCCTCAAAATCATCAAAATTCGTACCACGCTTGCGCTTGGACTTGCCGTCGTCATCAGCGACAGCGGTGGTCTTCTTGACTTTCTTATTAGTATTGTTGTTGCCGGCTTTGCCGCCTTTGCCGCCTTTGCCGCCTTTGCCGCCTTTGCCGCCTTTGCCGCCTTTGCCGCCTTTGTCGCCTTTGCCGCCTTTGCCAGAACGAGGTCTCTTCCTGGCGGTGGCAGCCTTGGTGGTAACCTTGGTCTTCTGCCGAGGAGATCTCCTCAATGGTTCACTGATTTTATCAATAAGCTGCTGTTTAAGGTCTACAGTGGCGATACTGTCCTCATCATCATCATCAGAGTCTTCCTCTTGTTCGTCCTCTCCGTCTTTCAGCGATACCTCCTCTTCGTCTTCTTCCTCGCCAACAAAGGACTCCTCGTCCTCTTCACTAGCCTTCTTCTTGGTGTTGGCCATGGTCTCAGTGAATAATAACAATAAAGAACAAGAGGCTGCTAGCGAAATGAACAAGAGGCTAGCTAGCGAAATTATGATGAGTTTCGCTAGCTGGCTCTAGCGAAATGAACCAACGAAATCCAAAACGTTGGTTAGTCGAACGTTTAGTCGATCGTGGTAGATAACGTTTTTCTTAAATTTTTGACTAAAATATCGACTAAACTGGATAGTTCGAGATTTAGTCCGTGGAGGGTAGACACCTCCTTGACTAAAGGTTACGGACTAAATCTGCGACTAAACAAGGTGCTAAAGTACTCCTTTAGTCCCTACTTTAGTCGCTTGGGTAGAGAGCGGCCTAAGGGCAGGCTAAAGACGCTTTCAGCTATTCTATCGCACGTACACAGTACATGAATAACGAGAGAGAGAGAGAGCAGCCTCACAATGGTTCGTTGGAAGGCGATAAACCAACTTGAAATAGAGCTCTCTGACCAAGCAAAGTCAGCACAAGAAGGAAATCACTTGTCGAAAGAGTGCCTCATCCAGACCCTTCACCAGCCCATGCACCACCAAATCCAATTTGCAGTGGTTGTCTTTATGAGATCGCTTGGCTTTAGGCTCAGTTTCCTCGTCCTTCTCTTCTTCTTCATCATCCTTTCCAGATGTCTTGGACTTTTCAGTTTTGCTTTCTGCAGGAGGCTTGTCTTCCTCCTCTGCCTCATCCATTTTGTTGTCATCTTTACTTTCACTAGGTTTTTGCTTGATGTGCTTTGCATTCTCATCTTCCTTGGCGGCTTTTGTCTCTGCAGCTTCTTTAATTTCTTCTGGGTCTTCACTTGCTCCTCACAATCTGTTGCATAAGAATTCAAGTCATTGGGCTTTGCCTTCTCATCTTCTTTCACTGGCAGCTCCTCTTGCTTGGGCAGATTTTCAGGACCAGCTTTCAAGTTTACTAGTTGCTGCAGTTTGCTAAGGCACAACCAGAAGGCTTATTTTGAATATCTTTTTATGTAATAATTTGTTATCTTTTTTCCCTTGTCACTTGTGCCCACATGTACAAAAAAACATTGGTGAGTCCCAATGGATCCCAATGAAAGAACCCGTCCCGGTCCGGTTGCGCTGACCATGGCTCCCTAAGGTGTCACCTTGGGGGTTCGTGGAAAGGTGGCTTCTTTGTCGTCAGGCGTGGTGGGAACAGTCAACTTGCCAAGCCCAGCAGAAGACCCGTCAGCTGGTCCAGCAAACACTTCACGGCGGAAGGCCCATTCACCATCAATCAAGACCTTGCGGGTCACCCAAGTCCCAATGTCCAGTTCAATGGTACTGTCGAAATACGAATCCACATAAGGATTGTTTGTGAGGAGCTGCATGAGGTGGGCAACAATCTTGGCACGAAGAGCTTCGGGTTCCTTGGGGGCAACAGGGTGACGCTTCTTGCTGGGATCCAAGAACCAAGGCGCGTAGGTGGTCGACCCGTGGTATGGTAATTCTGGGTCATTGTAGGTGTCGGGGAGGCCGCACATCTTGCTTACATCGACGATCGAAGGAATGGCAGAGTCGGGCGAGAGGTCTTCGGGGGTGGAGAGCGCCAATTCCCAATCATACAGAGCACGTTCTGGACGTTTGGGTGTCCCGTTGTAGATGGCGAGGTAAATCGCGGGACGATCCACCCCATAAAGGGCAACACTGGGTCGATACTTGAACGCTTCGAGATTCGCATTTTCAAAGTAAGGAAAGGGGACCTTGACAATGTCGCATTCGGTCAGAGCCGCCAATTCAACTTGCAACATAGTGGCGCATTCTTCTTTGGACAATTGCGTATCATCTTCAAATTTGACCGTGCTGCGGTTGACTTGAAGGCGAAACAACATGGCATGGTGGGAAGGTCCGTCCCCTTCCGTGAGCACAATGAAGCAGTTTCCCAGGTCAATGAGGCAGCGGGAGCAGGAGGAGAAACGAGGGAGACTGTCAGCGGGGGAGGGGAATTCTTGCTCGGCAAAGCGGCGTCCTTGAAAAGAGGTCATGGTGGTGATATCAGATAAGGTTGAAAGGAGTTGTGAGTGTGATTGTGGAGGGGAAAATGATTCTTGCTGCTCGTGTTTGACACTGTTTGTGGTGGGTTTCGCTCTGCTGCGGTTTCAGCGAGTCTGGATACGATTGAAATCAGTGGCACAGAGCCAGCCTCGTCGAGCCAGCCGTGGGATACGACAGCCAATCGATTCAAATCGAATCGAATCTCTAGCTAGCTACTGGCTACCAGGACCTTGGCGCAAAATATGAAAAGGGCAGAAAACTGACATTAGTAGTTAAGTAAAACTGAACCTCTTTAATAAATCGCTGAAAACGTCATTTTCTAAATACCAAACCAAACATGGTAAATACATTCAAACTGAATAAGCGATGAAAACTGAAAAGAGAAAACTGAATAAGCACTGAATCGTGCAACAGTTAAACTGAATTGGCTTTCAGTGCCGGACGTTAATATGCAAAGACGCTCGTTACCACGCACTCACCCTAACACATCGGATACGGGTCGAACAGCGAGTAGCTTCCGTTGTCGAGTTGAATACAAACAATGGCAACAACAGCATGAAAGCACTCCCTGTGGAACGTAATGCCATGCCGGAATACATCCTCGAGACAGTCCCAGAGTTTCAGTAGATTGTTGAACTTTTCATGCCTCGAGCACACTCGTTCCTTGAATTCTGCCACCTCGCGTGGGTCAAACTCATTGTCGATACTGACGACGTCTGATTCAGATGCAGCTCCGTAGATTCCATCCGCGATGATTCGCTTGCCATTCCCATACGCTCGGAGTTTTGGGAGCAATGCTTGCCGAGCCACCTCCAAGTCATTGTGGAGACCAGGAAGAGTGGGACCGTACACCCAAAGGAGCTTTTGCAGAATAATGCTCATTCCAATCTCATAGTTAACTCCTGCATGACCACCGAACTTGTGGCAGGAGTATATCTTGGAGAATGGTCTGGGCTCCTCAATGCGACAACACGTGCCATCAACAGACATGAAAAAGGTCTGTCCCAGGTCAGCATCCTTCCATTTCACCATTCTCTTGGACATGACTTGAGCAATCCTTGGAACAAAATGATGAATCCATTTCCGAACTGTATTCTTGCTGTCGATCTTGAAAAAGCGGCCCAAGGGGCCGAGAGTTGGGTACATCCACAGGAAACGGATTGTCATGAGTAAGTGCTTTGGCCTTGATTTCTTCGTGAGCAGTTCCATTTCACGTAGATCTGACCAAAGATCATTGACAGACGATGGTGTTGCGCCAAACTCTTCCTTGAAGATGGCAATATTCTTCTCCGCTGAATACCATTGATATCGTTCCACTCCAACAATCAACATCCCCATCTCCAAGAACGCATCGGCGCCCATCACCATTGCCTCAACATGTCTTGGCGAAGGAAGTGATGAAGGAATGTCGGTATCGGTCGCCATGGTCGAAAGTCAAAGAAAGTGCCAAAAGAGTATTCTTCCGCTCACGAACTTTCGATCAAAGACGACAATTTACGTTTCGCTATACACTCCGATACTGAAAGATTCCAGTCACGGGACCGCGCTCTGCTGGCTCGATTCTTTCTATGCCGGAGAAAGATCTTTGCACCAGCCGCCCAATGCTCTCTTCAAGCATTGATATTTTTGGCCTCAGCCTTCATGTGCCCGCCACTTTTGAATCTGAGCTCATGTTTTGAGGAAAAAGAGAGCTTTCCGGCGCATTCCCACAACTCGAAACTGAAACAGCAATCAGCCTCTTTTCTCATAATGGCACCACCAAAACTAACCAAAGAGGAGCTAGCGCAGTTCCATCTTCACTTGGAAGCAAAGTCAGGAACCCAGCTCAAAGACCTTGCGAAGGAACACCCAGAAGTCTACGCGGAAGAGTTCATTGGAAAGGAGAAAGTCATTGCATACCGGAATCGAGTCAACTTTCTCCGAAACAAGAAGAAGGACGATCCCGGTGACTACTGGAAGCTCTTTGCTGCCTCACAAAAGCATCTCTTAGCCGCTGCCAACAAGCCAAAGGAGGAGCAACCCAAGAAGCAGCCATCGAAGAGCTCATCAACTACTGCTGCCAAGGTCGACGAGTCGGAAATTGAAGATTGGGAAGAAGAGGACGACGCCGAAGCGGAGGAAGAACCACCCGTCAAAGACATTGCCGTTCCCAAGAAAAAGCCTCCTCGTCCCAGCCGACGACGCAAGGGAGCATCTGCCACTAGCACTGCCTCCAAGACCACACCTACTCCCTCCACGACACCCAAGAAGATGGCAAAATCCAAGAAAGCCAAGGCGACACCGAGTGTATCCACAATTGGATCTCCCAACCCCAAGAGCATCAACGCGACACTCCAGTTTGAGACCCTCGAGAAAGCTGAAGCGTTCTGCAATGCGTGTTATGTCGTGGACTGGCACAACCCTGAGAACTCTGGCGCGCCATTGTTCTTTCCGTACTCAATTCCATCATGCGAGACGGCCGATGCATCGCAAGAGTATGAAGGCTTTCGCATTGCAATGGCATCTGTGATGGACCTCCGCGATTTCAACAAGGTAACCGGCACAACGATTTGCGGAGGAACTGGTATTGTTGTCCGTCAGCAAGTCTACCCAACGGTGATGTTGAAAGACTACAATGAGATCCATGAATCGCGTAATGATGCCAACAAAAAGGCCATGACTTGCCACGCCAAGCTCGCCAATGCTATCACGTTGGATGAAAGCCGTCTCTGGTGGTACACTCTGTTCACTTTTGCCGATGACACGGTGGTGACTGCCAACTTGGAAGACCACCTGGCTCCTACCACTGAACAGACAACCAAGATCACCATGCAGGAGTTCGATTTGGAGACTCAAGTTGGAAAGAAGAAGCACAAAAAGACCCAGCACTTCTCCCCAGCCTATTTGGAGTTCCGTATTGTAGAGGAGGATCCCAATGCCAGCCTGTTGAAGCTTCCTTCTGTGGAGTCCGAGGACGATGACTATGGAGACCAACTCAAAGGTATGAAGATTGGAGGCGGAACAGGCGGAACAGGCATGAATACTTCCTGAGGACCCACCGGACAGAAACATCGATTATCACGGCTGTATTATTTTGGCGTCGACCCTCCTATAGCTATGTAATGCTCTAACCACCTTTTCGTTAACCAATGTATTGTCTGTAGGCCAGAAGCAGCACCCGAGTGGAATCCCAAAGGCTCCACCCAAGCGAAAGCCCACATCTCCTATTGGTGATGGAGCAAGCATGAAGGTACAAAAAGAGCAAGGATCGAACACAACAGCCGAGCAGATCCGAACGAAAAAGGCGCTGCTTGAACAAAAGAAGAAGGAAATCGCTGAACGCAAGATGCTTCGAGCACTTGCTGCGGAACGACAGAGACAAGAGCAAATGGAGCAACAGAGGAGGCTCCAGGAAGAGGCTCAGGCAATGCAGCAAGCCGCGGCTGCTGCGGCTGCTGCCAATGCTGCAGTTGTGCCAGCGTTTCTCCCAGAGAGCAAACAAAAGGCCAAAGAGAGCTCAGCTTCCACAAGACGTCGTGAAATCGCTTCATCACCTCGTTCCAACGAGTACCACAATGAAGTGCCAAAGGATGGAGCTCCAAAGCGGAGCAAAGAGATGATGACTGTCAAAGGAGTTGATACAGGAGCGATCAAGATCAACCGGCAAAGTCAATCAGATAGTCGTCGACAACAGAAGAAAGATGCAAAAAAGAAGCAAAACAGGGATGCTTTTGCATCGGAGCTCACAATCCAGCCGCCCCCACCTACACCGGATGCAGAGAAGACGAAGGATGACGTGAACGACTTTATTAGTAACCTTACCGATGGCCAAGATAAGTTTGAACAAGAGGTTTTGAATGGGATGAAGAACCTCAATTGCTGAGTGTATAGTTCTCGGCGCAGTATATTGTTGTTGTTGATGATTGTTTTGATAAGGCCCCACTAATATAGAGCCATGGTATTTAACATCACATTCTAGCTTTCCATAGCTAGAAGACGTTCAATCAGGTCTGACTTCTTGCCACTGAGCTTGAGACCGCGATTGCGAAGCTCCTCTTTCAGCTCCTTGACGGTCATCTTGGTATATTTTGCTTCAGTCTCATCTAGTTTCCAGGCCCTTTTCTGCTCCAGTTTTTCCTCATTCCTTTTCTCAACATTGCCAATCAATTCAATCAGTGCAGGGGTTGCTTCACCAGCACGGCCCCGGAGCTTCTTCTTTCCGTATCGGATCTTAACCTCAATTTTCTCTCGTTTCTTTATCTCTTGATAAAGATAGCCACGAAACTCATCCAGTGTCGCGTAGCGTTGGTATTCGGTCCTTGAATAGTAGATCTCCTTGGGAGAAATCATCCTTTCCTCAATCTCTGTCAAATGAACCTCATCGTCAATATCTTGCATGAGTAGTGGCTTGGCAGCGCTCCGGTAAAATGGGACTTTTCCTTCCTTCTTTCTCATTTCCTTGACGATGGCAATGTCTATCCCATAGAATTCACAGTCTCTGAGCATTCTACCAAAGTCTCGCGCAATGCCTTCCTTCAGTGTGCCCAAGTTTGATGCAAAGCGCTCTTTCTTCCACTTCGCAAACTCTGGTCTCATGGCCTTCACCTCGGATGGCTTCATCTCATCCGTAACTCTTCCGGAGATGATATCGTCCTTCAGAAGCTTCTTCGCCTTGCTCTTCCCCCACTCCTCGTCTTCTTTTGATGCAGGATCAGCGGCTGTAGCGGCTGCAGCGGCTGCTTGGTGTGCCATCGTGGATCAGATAAAACTGACTTGGATTCAGCGAAAACTGAATTCTGACTGAATCTGAATTCAGTTAACCTGAGCTCTAACTTTCAATCTCCAAGCTAAGATTCAGTTTTTGTTTTCCTTTTAAAATGTAAAAACTGACTTGACGGCTTATTTTATTGGCGAGCCGTCAGTTTGCTTTTAGGGTTCTGGCTAACATTCATATTTTGCGCCAAGGTCCAGGGACTGGATCGAGAGGTTGCCAAACTCACTCCTGACGCGGTCAGAGAGCCAACCGAGCTGCAAACACCCCATCAGATCACATTTCGTTTTTCTAACTTCTCAGCTTGTTCTCTGTGCCTCGCTGTCATCATACACTGCACGACAGCGATGTTCCAGCCTAGCAAGCCGGCCCGTCAGATGCCTCGGTTCACGAATCCAGTCATTGTGACCGAATCCGTTCCCGGACAGGAAGCCTTCAACCCAGTGAATGCGTGACCCTCCGCCCGAGGAGTCAAATGCAACCGTTGAGACGAGCAACGCCAGCCGACCCCATGCCAACCCACACTCCAGTGTGTTGGATCCGCTGGATCCAGCAAACGGCAGGTGCCGGTGAATCAAGAACGAGTGCAGTGCGCACTCTGAGTAAATGCTTAGCGGTGAATGCCTTCTGTTTCACGCTGGATTGCGCTGCAATGCTGCTTGTGCAATTGCTGGGATTGAAGGCTCATGACCCAAATGCCATCGTTCACCGCTGTAAGCAACCGGACACCGCCAAAACCCACTCCACACGAACCGAACAAACACAGCCAAACAAAGGCAAAACGAGGCACAACAACAACAGCAAGGACCACCGCAGCAACTGCCCATCCGCAGCTGTCAATTTCATAGATGTCTACGAAGAAACTGGGCTTCTCTGATAGCAAAGGGGGAAGCATCTGTGAACAACAGGGCATTCGGGTTCGGTTTAACATAAATGAAGCGGAAGAGGACCGTCGAACTGAACGTGGAATCGATGCTCGGCGGGAAAGGAAAGAGAACAAGAAGATGGCTGACCAGATTCGTGAGGGCCGCATCAGGGCGACCTTGGCGATTATTCGAAGCAACGCTCGTTCAGAGAGTCTTGCTCGGCTGTGCCGTTCAGACAGGCGTGTTGAAGTTCTAGTCAATTTGCTTCTCGATTTGTTTGTTGGCCAACGCCAGACTGCGAGACAACGGTTGGCTGCCTTTCGCGCCGCACCACAGAACCAGTTCACAAACCTTACGCCAGACATGGAAGCTTCTCTTATTGCATTGCAAGTGAATCCTCGTTTCTCCACGACGTTTTCTGCTTATCTCCCATCTACTGTCATCACCTCTGAAGATTCGAGCGACGACAGCTCTACCCCTACAGCAAGGCGTGCCAGAAGAAGGCGGCGCCGTCGGCAACGCCAAGAAATACGACAAGATGAAGAGAACCGACGACGTGCAAAATCCTGCAAGTGGGCTTTCACATTTGAATCTTCACCATGATGAGCGACTCGGAATTTAACGGGGCTTGCGAGCGCTTTGGTATCCCTCTCACCGCGGGGATACTGAAGAGGATTACAGTCAGCCAATTGCACGATGCTGTCAACCGCGGGGGCGATGATGAGGTTTCTTTTGTTTGTCTTATGGAGAAGTTGGTCGAGCTTAAGCGGAGGAGGGAGGACGAGTGGCATGAAAAGCTCAACGATGGCTCTCAAAGCATCGTAGCTGCGCGAATGGAGAGGCTGACCACTTGGGCGTCATTGTCAGTTGTTTTCCTACTGGCCAAGCCTTCTAAAGCAAAGTTCAGTAATTCTTCCATGTTGCCAATCATGTCAATATTGTGTCCATTGTAGGTTCTCACAAAACGGAAAGAATTGGTGTTAACAAGGAAGATTGCTGATTAAGAAAAAATGACGGCAGCAACGAAACATTATGTTTTCAGTCTCTTCTTTAACTACAACCGGCGAGGAGAGAAGACAAAAGCCGAAAGCACAAGAGAGGAGTCGCTTACATACCTGACACGGTTGTTTGAAAAGGTGGCACGATTTGCATGTATCGCCAAGGACGAGAATAGGCATAAACCCTGTTTGATACTGAAGGGCTATGTGAGTCTTAAGTCTCCTTGCACACAACATCATATTAGACGATGGCTAGGAAAATGCAGCGTTTGTTATCCTTCAAACTTTGGAGATACAATGAACCTGTGTCGTCTGGTCTGCGTCGACAAGCAATTGGTGACAGTGGGTCGCCTGTCTCAGGCAGGTAATTCAAACGCGAAAACGTTTACCAAAGACCCGAAATTTGTCGTCAAGCTTCTAGTTGATTCAATTGAAGGAAGGGACTTTGAATACCACCAGAAGGATAAGGTTTAGTCCGGGGGGCAGAAGAGAAGCTAAATCTAAGGCTAACTAATCTAATCTAAGACTAACTATATTCACGATGCTGTTGTTCTTGTTCTTCACGGTGGTTCGCCATTTGAAGTTCCGCCGCAGCCTGTTCTTCAATAGAAACCCCAACGGGATCAAAATTCGGATTCTCATCGCAAATTTTATAAATGACGTATCTGTCAGCAGACAGGCGGGTTATATCAGGGTAGTGGTTCATGAGGACGACAATATGCGGAGTGGTGCACAACTGAACGAGACGAGTGTGATACTTGGGGCTAATGACTTCACGGTCTTTCAGTTCTTCCACGAAGTCGTATTGGAGGTAAAGTTTTCGAGAACGCGCAAGATCAAAGAAGAATACTCTTGTCGTTTCCTTGATTGTATAAGCCATGTCGGCTGCTTTGCATGGTTTCACTATTTGGGTGTTTTTTTCATGAAGAGATCTATAGTATTTCGAGAACCAACTCTTCCCTTGGTTGCCAGTGCGATCAACGATGAATATAATTTCGCGAGGGTCTGGGGGTAGGATGAGCTTTTGATATAATTTTGACTGCCAATTACGAAGGGGGTGTACTGGAACGGGATCTCGAACGAGGTGTTTTGAAATGTAGTCTATGCAGAACTTGTCTCGATACTGAGCCCAGGTCTTGCTGTGGATTTCCGCAAGTTCGTCATGGTCGACTATACCTTCACGGACTGATTGTTTAAAGGCTTCTAAGTCACATCGAGTTGATTTCTCAGGGGGGCATTCTCCTACTTCGATCCAGTCACCATCTTTCTTGCAGTATTCAACGCTTTGATCTAAATGCCGAGTGACTGTGCAATGAGCCTGGCCTATAATACGCACTACTTGACCGAGTCTCTTTCGGTCTTTGAAAACCACAGTGCCTTGCAGGTGGGGTGTGCCTGAGGCGCCTACTTCCTTTCCGAATACGATATATTCTATCGACGCTTCAGGAGGATCAGCTGACAAACGCGCGACATCTTCGGGGGTATAGTTGTTGAGGGTGAAGCACCAGCGTTTTGCTCGTGGACCTGTTGATCCTTGCCTTGAGGACCTTCACGGTGGGAAAAATAATGTTGAATGAAGGCGGGTTCAACGGAGAACGCTTTCATACGCACGACAGATGGAGCGATTCCTGATAACACAACGAACGATAGGAACGCCTCCTACAACAACAGTGAGGGAGCGACAGAGATAGAACGCATTTCATACACACGACGATACGATAGAACGCTTTCATACACACGACGATTCATACACACGACGGTACGATAGAACGATGAACACAACACGACGGCATCATACACAACCACGATTATTATAACACTTACATTTTTTGATAGAACTTGAAATAATGAGTTGATTGTTGTTCAGAGTTGAGAGGCTCTTGGATGCAGCTAGAAAATTCGGCATCATACACAACCACGATTATTATAACACTTACATTTTTTGATAGAACTTGATGAGGGTTGATTGTTGTTCAGAGTTGAGAGGCTCTTGGATGCAGCTAGAAAATTCGCAATTCTGACGCTTAAATTCTGACAACCAGAACGATGAACAACGATGAAAACGATGAACGACTTTGAACAAATGAACGGTCAACACCAATGAACAAATGGACCAAGAGGAGAGAGAGGGGGCGAGGAGATGGACCGGAGGGGGGCGCCTCAATCGCCGGCGAGGCTCAGAGTCCATTTTTTGTTGAATCCACGGATACCGGAGCGACAAAAATGGACGGATGGACGGGAGTGGGGTGAAATACCGGGGAAAAGATACGCGAACTTCCTGGAACAATTCTGGTGGGGAACAGAGCATTCGCGATATTTTGAAATTCTGACAAGCCTGTTTTCGCTTAACGGAGGTCCCACCGAGAGAAAAATCCTATAGTAAAAGAGTATGAGGGACGGGGACCGGAGGTGAGGTAACAATGCTTTCGCATTGCCGGTGATGTGATCGATGGGCTCTTCCTCCGAAGGATTTCGAAAACCTTTGAAGATTGCATCCGAGAAAGGATTGTTGCCGATGTCCCGAGAAGCACATTAGCAAGCGCATTGTAAAAACTCTACGAGACATATCAAGCGACAATGGCAATGTTCAAGGAATCCAAACCGCTAAGAGGACAGAGAGCGATAACAGAATACTTTAAGAGCCGTTCGGTTGAAAGCAACATGTATACGTGCACTAAGTGTCAAAGGAAACACTTATTCAACACCGTCTGTGAGGCTTGTGGCCAAGGTTTCTGTTCGAATTGCAGCAGTTGGGGGAACGACATCAGCGGTTTGCAGATCTGTTACGACTGTAGGGGGCAGGTTGTTGCTTCTTCGTAGGTTAAGCCTTATCCGTGTTCGTTACACCGACAGCGTGTACGACAAACAAATATAACAGAATATTTTAACCATATATTAATCTGAACTAAAGAACTTGCGAGCATTTTCTGGAGTGTTCTCTGGAAGGCTAAGAGAGGTCTCGAACTTCCTCAGATCGGGGTAATGTTTTAGCCTGTGGATCGTGATGGTCTTGTCTCCAAAGCATAGGTTGTTTCGAATACGTTCCTCTGCTGCAGCTGCAATCCTCCTGACTACCTCCTTGAACTTCGATGGGTCTTCCGGGGTTGACGGATAGGAATCCGAATGCAATAAGACCATACGAACGGCACGCTTAATGGTGGCAAAATGATTCCTCAACCGCTTCCTTTCCTGCGCATCCAAATCTTTCCAATTCTCACTTTCCTTGTCCAGCTTGAACCCAGCAATGTAATTTTCAGAGAAGAAGGCGACAGTCACATCCGTCAAAGACATTTGATTCGTTAGACCCTTGCTGGCGATGGAGAACTTGATAACCCCCTTGGGGTGAGGAGGCGTTCTGGGGGCTTCTCCCATGAGATGGGTTTCTAGCCTTCGAAGAGAACTCGCCATGGCATGCAGACTGTCATGGTGGAAAAATCTCATGCGTCACTCATAAGACAGCTCTTCGGATATATCGTTCAACTTGTGGCGGAGTTGTTGCACGATTACATGAGTGGACTGGGTTACGGAAGCGAGGGCATTGAAATGGTCAACGAAGCATCGCGGGTCCATGAGGAGGCCTCCTTGATCTCCACTGTACTGGCTAAACTTTTCGATGGGAATCCCTGGAATATTGCGAGACAAGAAGGCTTTGCGAGCACATTCACACCAATCCATGAAGGTGGCTTTCTTCACACCTGCTCTCTCCAGTGCTTGTTCGACGCGACAAACAAAGAGATGATTACGGATAGGGGGGATGTCGTCAGACGACTCCCAATCGTTGTAGCTTTCGAGTGCTTCACGGATCGGAAGGTTGGCGATGGCGGTGAGGTCATCTGTTCGATCAATTGCTTCCGGATGCGAAGGATCTCTCAACACACCCAAAAACTGCTCATATCGAAGGAGCAGGGCCATAACCGACAGTTCCCTTACTTTTGGACTCCAGCGCCCATCGGCATCATCCTCGAACAAAATATTGGTGAAACGGCGGAGTTTGTCCCGTTCTGCAATTAACGGACTGCGAGATGGAGCCCAATCCCAACGTTTGGTGCGATCGTCCTGGGGCGCCTCCTCGACGTCTTCCGGATCTGGAAGTGTAGTAACGTCAGCAAAGGTGGGAGGTTGATCCTTCTGACGTTGCACCTCAGTTTGTAGAATCTGATATCGATAGACGTCTTCATTAACTTCCACCGCTGTCGTTCCTTCTGGCTTGATCAGGGACACTTCACTTCCACGGCCACTGCAATGGTAGCTCGTATTTAAGAGATGCCAAAACTCGGCTGCCTCCGCAGTGCCGAGCCAGATACACCCTGTGGCCATTGCCTCACGATCCTCACGAGTGCTAGACGCCTTTCCTTCCGTCATTGGTTTGCCCGACGCGCGGAGGCCTTCTCGATACATTCCACGGAGCCTGAGGCGGAGCTTCGACCATTGCTGCTCCTGAAAGACCGGAATTGGAGTTTCGGTCCTGAACTTGTTGCAAAAGAAGACTTTGACGGATGAGCAGTACTGAGTAGCCGACTGGTGACTAAGCCGCCTTCCTTTCGGATTAAGATAACACATCGCAGCGGTCCCCATGTACATGAAGAAGGCACCGATGAGCTTATCCCACCACTCAGCAATAGCCTTATTGGATGTCTTGCGCGGAATACCATGGTAAGGGATGGCGGTGGCTTCAACGACTTCAATACCAATCTGGGGACAGTAGGTCTTCAGGAAGTAATTGAGATGAGCGAGGGCTTTGCCTTGCTTGTCGGCCGAAGATACCAACAAGTCATCACGGGCGTCGCCGTAGAAGGTGGGAGGAGAGGCCGACCGGGGTGAGGAAGAGTCGTTATCGGTCACAGTCGACATGGCTAATCTTCCTTCTTCCTGCGCAACGTTATTGGACGATCACTGTAACGAAGTAGCGGACGTAGATCGTCGGATGCGGCATGTGAGGCGAGGCGATCTGTTGTTGTTGTTGAGCAACGAGGGATCGAATGGTTGCTTTGGTTCAATCCGGATGACGGCGGTGGTTGTTCTCAAGAAGGGTCACCGGTGTATGTTGAATCTTGGACGGAATCCGAATCCTGCATACATGTACGAATATCGGGCTGCGGGCGTTCGCGGGACTGCGCGCATTCGGTATTCGGTAGTTCATGACTACCGAAATCGATTCGGAACTACCCAAACGAGGGTACAGTCTAAAAACTAATCTATCATAAGACTGGAGAGGATCAAAAAAGGTGGCTGTGGGCTCAGCCTCAGACCAGCATTACCAGCACGTACTCTGTTTTTGCTAATTACAAAGGCAGGTAACTGACTCAACTGATGTTCCCTAAGTAGCTCTGGTCTCAGTGACATTTTTTATACAGTGTAACAAGGTATACTAAAACAGTACTAAAATTTATTATTCTTGTAAGGCACCCTGCTTAGTGGACAGAATCTGGTCTCAGATGGGCTGCGTGAGCTCAAATCTTGGGCTAAAAAGTGAGCAAAACAGCCCTCACTTTTCCCTCAGAAAAGCTGATACGTACACATCCCACAACAAGAGGACAGCCAAAGCTGAACACCAAAGTGGACCAACTACTGCTAATACTGATCTCTCAATACATCGTTGATAACTACTACTCTACTACTATTCAATGGCAACTGAAGTGGTAGATCTGACGGCTCCTGGAGCTCGGCCCATATCAATCTACAGAGCTACTGTGATGAGCCCACCAACTCCCCTGCCAAGGATGAGGTACTACAGGAATGGATTCTACAATCCAAAGAAGAAGAACATGAAGGATTTTGCGGATGCTATTAAAACTCAGCTACCACCAGGACAAGTCGGTCCAGTATTCGGTAAGGGAACTCCCATTGCCATCCAACTCAAATTCTATTTGAAGAAGCCCAAGCATTTCCCAGTCAATCAAGCACCTGTGGCAGCTCCAGTCAAACCTGATATTGACAACTTAACCAAGTTTGTGTTGGACAGCTGTAATGGTATATTGTACTATGATGACAGCCAGGTGGTCAAGTTGGTTGCTTTGAAGCTACGTGATGATTTTGCTGCTTGCCAGGGAAGGACTGTTGTGGAAGTGATGCCCTGGATTGACAGCGAGGGTGACAGGAACTATGGATTTATGTAGCTGTTTTACAAAGAATTATGTATGGTTTTGTTTTTGTTTATTGTTTATATGGTAGAACTGATAGTTATTTAAGGTGCATTCATCGCTTTAATTCTTATTTAGTACTTATTTACTGGGAGACTTGATCCAAGCATCCAAGGCAACGTCAACAATATTCCTCCAAATAGTATTCTTGGCTTTATCATAGAGAGGTTTGCTTCCATAGGCAGCAACATTGAAGAAGACCTCATCTCTTACCTTTAGGTTCTGGCGATGCAAAAGGAAGAATCCACTGAAGTAGAGAGATGTACCAATATCCAGCTGTACAGCATCCACAAGACCACCATCTTCGTCCAAGGCAAACAGCATCTCCAAGCGGCCACCTTCTCCTTCCTTGAACCAGCCTTGCCCAGGCACATAAATCAACGTATAACTAACGTCGGATTCAGCATGGAAGTGCTCGGTTTCTGCAGAAACGCAAAACAAAACGGTTGGGAAAGATGAGCTGCCGACGAAGCTCAAATCATTCTCCAACTTGGAGTTGCACTTGTGGGCTGCCCAGATCAAAGTATCGTTGATGATGCAGCCAGACTTGACGACACAGCGCCCTTTGGTTCGACTGAATAGATGTCCGATCGTCTCTGTCGCATCCTTCAAGGCACTGGCCAGTACTTTTTCATGCTCCATATTCTGATCAATCGACGCCTGGTCGTTTTTTCGGACAGAGTAGGGACCGACTGAACTAAAATTCTCGTGCTCGCTGACATTGCTCTGGCCTTTGGGAATTTCTCTGTAGCCATAGCCATAGTATCGTCCATTGGATCCATGGTGCTTGATGCTGGCTTGGGTGGTAGGGCTTTTGATTTTTCTAACTTCAGCCAGGAAGTCATCATCGATGACAACCACAGTGGAGGCTTTGGGAACCTGGCTTGGAATTTTGTATTTATTGTGCCAGACCGCAAGGAGTACCATTGCACCGTCTTCTTTGTCTCCCACTAAAACAATGTTCTTGAGGGTCCATGGGTGCCCCTTGGGAAGATCAGTTAGGTGGCTCTTATTCATTATGTAGGCACCACTACCTGATGGGTCAAAAAGTGTGCCAACAGCCACCACTCTGTATTTGATAGTTAGGAACCGGTCAAACTTATCTTTCTGCATTTGCTCCTCCTCTGCAGACATAGCTGGGACTTGTGGATGCTGCCTTTTTTCCCTTTCAACAGTAGCAGGTACTAGCTGCTTAGAAAACACAGCTAGTTTGGTCCATTGTGCTTTGGATAAAACAATAGCAGGGATTGGAGACTTTTGCATTAGGTCTTTGATTATAACCTTGGCTGTGGCCAGAATATCATCTTGATGCTGCCTGTTTGGCATTTTGACTTGGCTCTGAGAGCACTGGAAATGGCAAGTAATTTTGTAGTCAAGAATGAAAGTTAGAGGTTAGAGAAATTATGGGACCATGGCACCAGAAAAGCAGAACGGAACAGCAAATGGCAACAATCCCAAACAGACAATAAAGAATGATCTGGGATTTGAATCCAGCACAGCTCATTTTGATTTTGCATGACGTACTGAGAAACAAGAAAGATTTTTGAGCTTCCCTGCATGCAATAAAGAAATGCTCACCAGGACTTGAACTGATCACCTCAGGCCTGGTTGAGACCGCCTAGACCAGCTGACACTCACCTGAAGTTGTTACTGAATCTGCAACTTTTTAATTTAAAAAAAATTAAAAAACAAAAACTTCCACAAAAGAGGCAACGTACACAGGTTCCAACCCATGGCCACACTGGGGAAGCTAGTAGCTACCAGCCCAAAAGAGGCTCCGTCAAGACTTTGGCCTCAAAACTATTCTCAAATCCAGTTTCTAGCTGCTGCCAACAAGTACAATTCGAAGAGCTAACTAACATCTAAACATATTATGCTACATGTACAATCTTAAAGTTCTAATCCACAGATTCTACAGCAGTGGATGCTTTCCTTTTCCTTTTCAGCAATTTGGTTTTTTGAGTATTCTCAGTAGAGAACCAATCTGCCACTTCTTTGGGAGTGTTTGAGGGCAGCTGCCGGTAAAGCTCAGATGTCTCATCTTGCCACTCCTTAATTTTTTGTTTGACAGCAGTTGCTTCCAGATGTGACTGTTTGACTTTTTTATTCTCATCCTGTGGAAATATCTCCTTCCTCAGTGCTTCCTCTGCTGCTTGTGATAGCTCCCTTAGGTCTTCCTGCCAAGGCATCAACTCAGTAGACAGTGTTGGTTTGTCGGGAGGATACTCTTCAACAAACAGCAACATAACCCGAACTGTCTTCTTAACTCTTGAAAACTTGCAAGTTAATGATCGTGACGGCTTTTCCTCCTCTTGCTCTTCTAGCTCCCTCTCATAGGCTGTGATTGCCGGTGCGTCAAAGAAGTAAAAGAATACGCTGGCAATGGTGGGACTTGATCCAAGCTTGGCAAAACCAACGGTGAATTTTGTGACATATAGCTCCGAGTCTGCTTTCCTGCCTTCTTCTTGGGTGTCAGTACCAGGAGACCTGCTAACGGCGCCGGGAGATGACTGGGATACTGCAGTCGGAGAATCAATACCACTACCGTTGAAGGTTCGACTGCCTTGTTGACTTGCCAGCATTGCTTGAACCATGCCAATTAAATGTGCCTGACCAGTTCTCAGCTCCGACATTTCCTGCCTCATTTTAACAACCTGCAAATGCAACCCCTCTGTGTGGTGTGCAAGCGTATTATAGTGATCCATTAGGCATCGCCTATCCACCAATGTTGTTCCGGTCCTTGGATCTCTGTTGTTGCGTGCCGAATCAGGCCATAATTTGATTTGTAAAGCTGGCAAATTGTCCCCGAAGAAACCTTCTTTGACTTCTGCCTGCCAAGCTTCAAACGTTGTCTCAGAAACTCCAGCACGACTGCAGTACTCGTAAATCGTGGAAATGAACGGATGGTCCTCGGATCTTTTGCCAAAGTCTTTATGTGGAGCATTCTGTATTGCGGTCTCCACTTTGTCAAAGTAACGCAGCATGGAAGCCACCAGCAATTCCCGGACTGTTTGGCTCCATCGGTTAGCTGTGTCGTGGGCAAATACTTGGCTTACAAACTCAGGCACTAACTGTGCATCCGTGCGTATGTGCTCGAGGTTCGGTGGCTGGCCACCAATAACCGTTTCTCCTGCTTTAGCGGTCCAACCTGCGACTGCCTTTCCCGCAAGAGTAATCATCTTGGAAGAGCCAATGACGTAGTCGAAGATTGTGTGTAGACCTCTAACTTCCCATCCAGTACGGAAGATTTGTGCCAACCCCGATGCTGGTGACTCTGCCATTACTTGATTGGCACGCTTCTTTCCATGGTGGGATGACAGATTCTCATTCAAAATATGCTTAAGGTCCGATATCTCTTTGAAGAGCGACTTGAAAATAGCTGTCCATAAGTTGGCTACCTTGCTGTCGTTTCTCCCTTCTTTAGACTGGTGCAACGCCTTTTCGGCAAACTTGGGGAACAGATAGTCATCATTGTCCGGTAACATAATAATGCGGTAGATCATGCCAAAATAGATATCCTCGAAGAAGTTTTCACGGTGTGGGAAAAGAGTCAGGTTGGTTTCCTCGCCCAACTTCTGTCGCTTCAGGTACGTGCTGAGAACTGTATACTTGAAGTGCAACTCGCAAATCTGCCATGAACTCAAGTGACTCCATCGGTTCAATGCTACCTCACTGCTGCGGCCACTGTAGTGGAGACTAGCAATGTTCATCAATAGAAAAACAGCGGCATCACCCGTAGCCAACCACAAACAGCTGTATACCATAGCCATCATGTCGTCTTGTGTAGAAGCTTGGTGCGGGTTGGTTAGTTTCTGGCCAGATTGTCGTGCCCTTTCCTCAAATAAAGTGCGCAGCTTTCTTCTAAGGGTGGCCCATGATTGCTTCCCAAACACGGGACATTTGTATGTATTATGTCTCCATTTGTCGGTGTAGTAAGCTTTGATAGAACTGGCATAGCCATTAACCGATTCAAAGCCAAGCTCACCATTGCAGCCTGTAGCAAAATAAGAGAACATACCACCCATTAGCGCATCCCAAAACCGATTACTGTCCTCGGTGTTTTCATGGAATAATTGGGAATAATGGCGGTACGGTTCTCCCCGGTGTTTGAACCAGAGACGGAGAAACCCGTCGAAGTGCTTCAGTGCTGATTTCTGTTTCTTCTCGGCACTTTTACCCACGTTGTCTCTGATATCTCCCACCAATCCATCTTCTTCTACTTCCATTATGATTGTTTCCGCAACCACATGGCTTTCGGGATTATCAGCTGTACATTATGAATGTCGTCAAAGCTAAAGTCAGCTGGTACTGACGACACTGCCGAGGTAGACACGGTGATGTCATCTATATTAGCATCATTATCTACTGCTATTCTGCCAATGGTGGATGATCGTGTATGTTCTGTGTGTGGTTGTGGTTGTGGTTGTGGTTGTGGTTGTGGTTGTGGTTGTGTGGTGCAATGGTAAATTTACTTGTAAAAGCTAGTACGGTGTCATTTTGCAGCTAGCTAGCTAGCTAGCTAGCTAGCTAGTACTGCTGGCTAGTACTGCTGGCCAGCTTGGAATGATGGCGGCATCAAAATGTGAGGGTAAAAGAGGGGGCCCTTATTTTTGGTGGGAAAGGGTGAGAGTTCTGCTGGCTTGCAGCTGGCTGGGTGAAAAGTCAATAAATAAAATTTTGCTGCATTGTTTGTACGTGATCAGTTCTGAGACCAGTTTTGATCTCAAGTCCCTTCTGTGGACTCAGGAACAGGAGTTACAGTACCGGTACCAGATATCGCTACCAAAGTACGGTACTATGGAAGATCTCTCTCATTCTTCATGCTCTATCTGTGCATCCTCGGTTGAATAGATCCTACCTAGTATCATACTGTACGACTGTAGCTTAGATCATTCAGTCGAGCCGTCACATAGATGAGGAAGAAGCCCGAAGACAAGCGCCCCCTGAAGATTTTCGGGGAAAGCACAGTAGGAGACTCCACATTTTCCCACTTTTATGCATACCGGTAGTCTCTCCTCCCCAATTCCATACGAGCCGTCCCGAAAAGAGTACTAGTACTAGCTAGAGCAGCCAAAATCGTTCTGGACGAGCTTTACATTACTTGTTTGTTCTACCCTACCGTAGGCACAGCACGCTGATCTCTCAAGGAATGGGATGAGGCATCTTCTTTCACCATTCATAATCTTACGTCTTCAATTCTTTGATCCCATCACAATCTTGAACTTTCGCATTTCGCATTCCTCCGAAAATTTACTTACTCAGTCACTCTCTGCTGAATCTGAATCTGAATCGTATGAGAATTCCTCCGTCCCGGTATACTGGCGGAGTTCACGAGCAAGCTGTTTCTGAAACGAATATCGTACACTTTGACGAGTACGCTGCTCCAGCTCATAGTCAGGCACAAAGACATCAATCAATGTGTTGGCGTACTTGGCTTGAGTAGTGTGTAGGTCCAGCAAATTTCCACCGGTTGCACTCGAAGCAACATCCCTTGGCAAAAAGTCACGGGGTAACCACCAGGAGGAGTCAGTTTTGGTACCATCCAAGAGTCCAAGATTCATGAGAGATTCTGCAGTGCAACCGCTGCAGTTGGTTGTCTTGACAAAGCCTCGTTCGTTAGTCTCGGCAGGGACACGACCGAGTCGTCCTTGATGGAGCAATTCAGGAATATGGAACAGGATGACGGTAATTGTAACTATGGTGAAGTAAAGCGCCAGTGCAAACTGGGCCACGAGCCCACAGAACCCTGCAAAAATGTGGCCCAAGGGCCCATCTCCAACGATCTTCATGACTCGCACCATGGAGAGGTCGGTTTGGACCTCGAGTAACGCTTGAACAACCCTTTCAGATGAAAATAACCAATTGTAGAGCAAATCGAAGCCAGCCTTGGTGGAGAGCTTTGTATACGGAATAGTGCGGGCTTCAATCACCCAGTTCCAAAAGGCCTTTGGGGCAACCCGCGTATCATCGGTAACTTCGCAACTTCGGTACAAGACTTTGCTGCCCACGAACAAAGGGTTGAGTTCACGTTTCAGCCATTCTTCCAGTGGAATCAAGCGACATCCGTCAGGGCTGTGACAAGTGGATTCAAGACAATACACACGGCTGTCTTTCTCTGTGAGGCCGTAGGCCATCAAGACATCCTTCGGGGGGTCTTTGACCAAAACCACACAGTGCAGGATTGGAAGTCTTCGTTGCAGATTCCGGTACCCTTGAACTGCGGCGAAACCAAAGCTCCCTTTCCTTGCACGAAGTGGCAACCAAGAGCAAATCCCCCGTTTGGCAAACTTTTTCTAGCGACCGGCTAGATATCTTGTCGGCAATGATATCAGTGGTGGAAGAACGACGAAACATGGTTTTTCTTGTAAAAAATGGTTTGTGTTTACTGTTTTCAATTCTTGTTATTCAATTGGATTGTGAGACAGAGTTCAGAGGATGGGTGTGGTGGAGCTCAAAGAGCTCTCCAATGTGCTGGACGTCTGCGGGTGCCCTACAGGACCCGTACCGGTACTCGTACAGGAGCCGAAAAGAGAGACAGTTGCGTCGCCTTTTGCTCTATCCAATTGCTTCTTCTACTAATACCGGTATTTGCGAGGTACTCTTCATTAGCCGGTGTGCATGAATTCGATGTGCTGCTTGTTGGCTTAGCTGCCCGCCCGTACCGGTACCGGTATAGCCAACCCGGCGTCTGATTTTCTCGTGTGATGACCGGCACACAGATCGACTGAGCCACTCGACCCGGATGTTTTGAGGTTTCAAGTAAGTTCAGATGTGGATTTACCTCGGCAGGTAAACTGCCTGCGTTCTCAACCCCTTTAATGCTATTTCCTATTTCCTATATCCTATTTCCTATATTACGTCTCCTCGAGACGACGCTCCTTTTAGATTCCCCCTCAGTTGCACTCCGAAACCGATTCGCTCGCGTTTACTGTGTAAAATAGTGTACCCGCACTTCAGTTGCAGAATCAACGGTCATGTGTATCTGTAAGTACGAAACTTGTATTTAACGTTTTTAAACATCTGTACAGGTGTGTGCGTGCACATACGGTAACGCGACCGTAACCGCTACCGGTACCGGTACCGTCACCGAAACCGTTAACGTACCAGTAACTGTCATGGAAACGGAACGAGGAATACGTCAACTTCTGTACATTGAAGTTCAAAACCCGATGAACAAGGTTGGAACACGTCAGAGTACGAATTTGTATAAGTTATTTGGAATTGGTTAATTGAATGCTGCTTCGGACTGTAACATTTCATCGTAATTGTCGGCGGAAAGAGTATCGAAGGGAATGTAGCGACTGAAAGTTTCCAGCATATGCACCATTTCCTCTGGCATCTGGTACTTTGTTAAATCGAGCGACAGTGGTTTTCGCAAGAAGAGGCCTTTCATTTCTCTTACTCTTGAAAGTACCACGTAAACCCAATTATCTGCATAGTGCCAGTTCCACACCAACAGTTGCGATGCTGTGTATCCCTGCAACTTATGTCCTGTGGTCGCTGAATTGCTAACAAGAGGAAACTGGATTCCTTTCATGCGAACCTCAATCTTTTCCTTTTCGATTTTCATCTTGCACTTGAAGGACACTCCGTGTGTCTTGACATCG